GTTAAGTGAAGATGATGTTATCGATTAAACCAAGAGATGAATCCGGTTTGAGCCATCAATCAATTCATAACCCATTGGCTCCGCATGTAGTTGAGAGTCATCGGAGTTTGAAATACCAATCAAAGATTGAAAATATGGAGCCCTACTAAAACAACCATGCAAAATTGATTTTGGTCTTGATTTTTGACCAAAATAATGCTATTTTGTAAAAATTACTCAACCAATCTTAAAAAACTATTAATATCCTTTTTAGTTTTATTTCTTTTGAAAAGAAAAAACGTATTTACGAAAATATCATGAATGAGACAGCGAATAAGTCTACCGTTCATGTGATGGTAGATTTATTTGCGATTGGTAGATTTATTAAGTGGTTGGTAGATTTATTGATGGTTCGCGCAATGGTAAACTTATTTATAGTAGTGGTAGATTTATAATATGTGGTAGACTTATTTCTCGTAGTGGTAGAGTTAATTTTGTGATCGGTAGACTTTCTAGTGGTAGTAGAGTTAATTTTGTGATCGGTAGATTTATTAATGGTTCGCACAGTCGTAGATTTATTTATAGTAGTGGTAGATTTATTTTTGAGTGATAGACTTATTAGTAGTAGTGGTAGAGTTAATTTTGTGATCGGTAAACTTATTGATGGTTCGCGCAATGGTAGACTTATTTATAGTAGTGGTAGATTTATAGTAGTGGTAGAGTTAATTTTGTGATCGGTAGGCTTATTWSTAGTAGTGATAGAGTTAATTTTGTTATCGGTAGACTTATTGATGGTTCGCGCAATGGTAGACTTATTTATAGTAGTGGTAGATTTATAAAATGTGATAGATTTATTTCTAGAAGTGGTAAATCAATAACAATTTTATTTCAAATAAAAAAATATTAATAATATTTATATTTACGAATTAATTAATTTTTAAATCAGTAACACAACTTTATCTCAAAAAAAAAAAATATCAATAATAATTGTATTTACGAATTAATTCATTTTTAAATCAATAACATAACTTTATCTCAATTAAAAAGAGAAATAATAATAATTTTTATTACATTTACGAATTAGTTGTTAAATCAAATAAGGACAAAACATATTTTTTTAACTATTGAAAGAGGTATTTTTCAAAAACCAAAAAATCAAAGTGTATTTTGCAAAAATTCCCTTTATAATATATGGTAGACTTAGTTATAGTAATGGTAGATTTATTCAATAAAAGGTAAAATCGTAATTTACCTTTCATCTTCTCCACAAAACACCAAGGTTTTCTCAAACCCTAACAATGGCGGCCAGCCATTTTTAGCTTGTTTTTACTGTATTTTAACTCGTTTTCAACTAGATTTTTCTAAAACTAGTAGATCTAACATCATATATCTCTTTTCTAACAAAAATCAAAAGATTTTGAGTTTTTTTTTCCAATTTTTGATTTTTAATCCGATTTTTACCCAAATTCTGGCTTCCACACCTCCGCCGAGCACGATCCGGTGTTTCTGAAGCCTCCAAAGTTGTTTTAGTAATTATCTCTTGAAAATAAGCACTACGGTTTCATTAAAATTAAGTTTGTGGGAAAATAGAATCAACTTTCTGTTGTTAATAATGTTCTAAACTCGAAAATGGGACTTATGAAACCCTCTAGTTGAACCGTATTTTTCAAAAAAAATTGATCAAATTGTAGCATAGTACCTATTTATCACACCGATTAGATTGTTTCGTCCCATTCAACAATTTGGAATTTTGGGTTAAATTTTTGCAAAGAGTGGAATAAAAGTAAAAAAGACATTAACGCGTCGATATAATCATGACATGGAGGGCCTCAAATTTTGGTCATATAGCAACCGACATGAAGAAAACCACCACATAGTATTTTCCACCAAGCCACCCAATCTTATCACCACGACTTTTCAAAGTTGACCACAGTAAAAGTCTAAAAGATGAAGTTAGAAAGTTGTAGTAAATGGGAAAATCAAGGGCATTTCCATGAAGTTCATCTTTATAACCTAAGGAGGGATATTTTTCTTAAACTTCATAAGGTTAATGATAAGAGAAATGGAGGAGAAGAGAGCTATGTTGAAGTCACTGATCCTGTTAATGTTGTTTCTCAGTTTTACCCTCGAAACCGTGGCTGCGGAGAGCTTCTGTCATGCGCAACGTCGGATGTTGATTAACGCGTGCACGAGCTCGATATTAAGGTCTCCAACTGCTCAATGTTGTCTTAGAATTAGGAGGACTCCTATGTGGTGCGTTTGTTCTATTGTAACCCCACAGCTCGCGGCTACCATCAATATCGATAAGGTCAAGTACGCCGTTGGAGTCATCCGTCAATGTGGTCGACCCGTAGCCCGCGGTACCAAGTGTGGAAGTAAGTATATCTATCAATCAATCACAATAAGTAATATTTTTGTTAATGACTAAACACGTATTTCATTGAAAAAAGAGTGCAAGTCTTCTTGAAATTCATTTTAACGTAACTAAAACGTAGAAATTAATGTTTTGAAAAAATCAGTCTTATTAAGTCACTTTTATTAATTTGCGTTTGGGGTGTGCAGGTCTTACGGTTCCATGAGTCGCTCGTGACAATGAATAAGAAAATATCGGTGTATCTAAAGGTCTCTATTTGTACTATGTCACTGTTCCAAATCGCATTTGCACTAACGTTTGAACATGGTCTTATGCCAATCCTTATCTTGTTGAATCCTTATGTTATGTCCAGTAAACTAGTCTGAATAAATATCCTTCGCTAAATGAGATTGTATTGGAGGAGATTGATTCATCGTTTTCTAATTCAAAATTCTGATGGAAACGGAATATCGGCTTATTCTAACTAATATTTCGATTTTCATTTTGTAAACCTTCAAAAGTATCTAATAACTCCTTCCGAGCATAATTTGTTAGAACGTTCCACAATTTAAGTGGATATAATTCAACACTAATATATAAATATGGGATGTTTATAATTAGGATGGAATTATTATCCGGGATCCGAGATCCGATCAGGTATCCGTTCAGATCCGCTCCGAAAATTAGGATATCCGGGGAGTCCAGATCCGGATAAGGATAGTAAATTCTATGATCCGTGAAAAGAGGATCCGGATAGTAAAATTTTAAGGTCCGGATATCCGGACGCATTAAATATATCAAAACATATATCTTTTACATATATTAAGCTATTTTTATCTTAAATATATATAAAATTTAACTTTAGTCCTTTTTATAATAGATATTATATTTATTTCTAAAAATATCATGCAAATTTTAATTAATAAATTTTAAAAACTGTTTTTTTAAAAAAATATTTTTAAGAGAAAATTTGGGAAAATACCTTTATTTGGTTTTTAAATTTGAAAAATACACTATTTTTATTTTTTTGAAAACTACACTTTTCAAAATATTAGTTTACTAAAATAACCTTATTAAACATGAATAATAATTTTATTTTTCTTATAGATTTATAGAAAAATAAAATAATTTTTTGTGATTATAATATTATTCTAATATTTGTTTCCGAATTACTTGTTATAAAATATATAATTTTCTAAGATTTTGATGTTATGAAAGATTATATATATTTATGATTGATTGAACTATTAGGGTCGAAGACCAAACTATTTTTTGTTTGTTAAAACAATGGAAAGTACTGTATACTCTATAACAAATTTATTGGTTAAATAAAGTAATCAAATTGACAAAAAAAATTGATCTAGCAATACGGAATCTATGTTTCATCTAAAGTTCTTATGTACCTCTCTTTTTAGCAAAATGGCGATTCTTCTTTATATATGGCAYATAAGWTTTTTTTTTGTTTTAARATTTTGCAATATTTCAATAAAGCTTACAAGATGCAACTATTACATGAAGATTGCTCATCCATAGACATTTGAAGGATCTGTTGTAGCAAAGAGTTGTCTTCATCTTGCCAGGGCCACCAATACAATTGAAATTCTTACTGGTTTGAGATTGATTTTTTTAACAGAGTTCTTTCGAACAGGAACATAGTAGAGTAATTTCCATTTGCTTAATCGCTTGAACTCACACCTACAGAACCAATCAACTTTTCACAAAATTCCTAATTTAATTTTCAAAATCTACATGTCTTGAATGGAAAAATTGGAAGGAAATATTTTACCACAAGCTTAGGGACATCTGTAACTACCAAACGCATGAGATCCACTTGTATTTTCTCGGTTTGAATATCCAATCATAGTTGCATCTTGTAAGCCCGATTAACATCTTTATAATGATAAATTTTAAAGTTTAATCAACAAGATATCTTTATCTCAAAAATAAAATAAAAATATTAGTTTTTCGAATCTCTTTTAATTGTGATTTATTAAAAATATAATTTTTACTTAAAATTAGGACAAAAAAGTCTTATCACATATGAAAAAGGTTATTTTTCAAAAAAAAATAAAATAGGTGTATTTTTCAAAATTTATAACATAAATAGGGTATTTTTCAAATTCTCTCTATTTTTAAATCATTTAAATTATTTTTTATTATTATTTTCGGATCCGGACCCGGATCCGGATATCCGGCGGATATCATGATTTTTGGTCGGATATTTGAA